TTGGAGGCCATCTTGGGCCATCTTGGCCGTCTTGGAGGCCATCTTGGGCGTCTTGGAGGCCTCTTGGGCCGTCTTGAGGCCCTCTTGGGGCCTTCTTGGGGGCCTCTTGGGCCGTCATGGGGCCATCTTGGAGGCCTCTTGGGTGCTGTTGGGGCGATGTTGGGGACCTCTTGGGCCGTCTTGGGCCGTCGGAGAGCTGAAAAGAAGAACATGCCAAAATCCTTGAAAAACCTAAGGAAAATCAATGATTTTAACCTATTCGGGCCTTCCTGGAGGGCGTCTTGGAGGGCTCTTGGGCCGTCTTGGAGGCCTTTTGCGGGCCTTTTGGGCCGTCTTAGACCATCTTGAGGCCATCTTGGGCCGTCTTGGGTGCATCTTGGAGCCATCTTACCCGTCTTGGAGGCCATCTTGGCCGTCTTGGAAGCATCTTGGAGGCCATCTTGGGCCATCTTGGCCGTCTTGGAGGCCATCTTGGGCCAAGTTGGGGCAACAAAGGCATTGACAGATGGATTTTCGGAAACTTGCGGGTGGCCGGCGGGACGGGCCGAAGCCCACTGGGGAGTTCTTTTAGAAAAAGAACCAAAACCAAAACCTGAAACATCCAGCACGCCGTGCACCCCGTCCCGCCGGCCACCCGTAAATTGCCGAAAATCCGTCTGTCAATGCCCAAAAACGGCCGTTTCGCTCGGGACATCCTCAAAAAATCGCGAAGATGGCCCAAGATGGCCTCCAAGTCCGCCCGAGATGGTCCAAGACGGCCTCCAAAACGGCCCAAGAGAGTCCAAGACGGCCCAAGACGGCCCAAGAGGCCCCCCAGAGGCCTCCCAGACGGCCCAAGAGGCCTCCAAGAGGTCCTCCAGGAGAGTCCGAAGAGGCCAAAATCATTGATTTTCCCTTGGTTCAAGACGGCCCAAGAAGCCCCCAAGATCGCCCAAGAGGCCCCCAAGAGAGCCCCATGATGGCCCAAGTGGCCTCCAAGATGGCCCCTAGAGGGCCCCAAGAGGGCCCAAGAGGCCTCCAACACGCCCAAGATGGCCTCCCAGACGCCCAAGATGGCCTCCAAGACGGCCCTGGAGCATTCCAAGCGGGCCCCAAGTCGGCCCATAGAGGCCTCCCAAACGGCTTCCGACGGCTTCAGACGTGCCAGGAACCCACCAAGATGGCCGAAGTTGGCTCGAAGCTGGCCCGAGACGGCCCAAAAAGCCCCAAAGATCGCCCAAAGCTTGCCCAAGAGGCCTCCAAGACGGCCAAGATGACCTTCAAGATGCCCACGTGTTCCCCGAAGGCTTTCCAAACCGATTCGGGGAACACGTGGTCCGATAGCTTGGCAGGTCTGGCCTCAACGTTCGGCCACATAGGCGCTTCCAAAAAGGCAGGGGGCGGCGGTGATTCGCCGTAGGCGTCTTCGATCCGCCGCCCCCTGTCGATTCATCGCAGGGGTGCCTGGCGTGCTTGACGATTTCGGTTTTGGTTTTTTTTCCAGAAAAACTCTCCCAATGGGTTTCGGCCCGTCCCGCTGGGGTCCCGGGAGGATTGCCCAGTCCGGAACAAATCCTCCCTGAAACGGCCATTTCGCTCGGGACATCCTCAACAAATCGCGAAGATGGCCCAAGATGGCCTCCAAGTCAGCCCAAGATGGTCCAAGACGGCCTCCGAGACGGCCCAAGAGAGTCCAAGACGGCCCAAGACGGCCCAAGAGGCCTCCAAGATCGCCCAAGAGGCTCCCAAGAGGGCCCCATGACGGCCCAAGTGGCCTCCAAGACGGCCCCCAGAGGGCCCCAAGACGGCCCAAGAGGCCTCCAAGACGCCCAAGATGGCCTCCAAGACACGCCCACGTGTTCCCCGAAGGCTTTCCAAACCGATTCGGGGAACACATGGTCCGATAGCTTGGCAGGTCTGGCCTCAACGTTCGGCCACACAGGCGCTTCCAAACAGGCAGGGGGCGGCGGTGATTCGCCGTAGGCGTCTTTGATAATCAACAACCCCACCCAGCAGCACCGCATTGACAACGATCACTTGGGCAGTTGGCAGCGCTCCAAGTGGCACTCGTCGAACGATCGGTCCGAGACACCCACGATGGCTTCCAGACGGCCCACGACGCGTACAAGACCCCCGAAAAGGCCACCTGTGGAAGGGATGAGTGTGCCTGAAAGCCTATCTGCATGTGGCCACCCCCTGTGGGACGGAGCCCGCACTAGGAATCGGGGTGCCTCCCAAAAACGCGTACGGTACTCCTTGAGGGCAGCGCACAGTGAGGTTATCGGTAGAGAGATGCGGGCGTCGCCACTGGCATGGCCTGCAACATCTTGGCACCACCAAGAGGCCTCCCAAGAGAGCCCCAAAAGGCACACCCCGACACACGACAGCGGCGAGGCAATATGGGCTGGCGGAGTGAGCGAAACGATTAGATAGAAAACAAATGGCTGTGCAACGTCAGTGTTCAAAAATGCCTTCGCTGGCGCTCCTACGAATTCTGAAGGAAACTGCGAACGTGGGTACGTGAGACATGTAGGTGACACTCGTGCTCGTGTGAGAGGCTTGCTAGAGTGTATGCGCGCGTGTGTACTATAGTCACTGTTGATCAGACAGGCGCGCCGCCCTGGGGAAGCGCGAGCGCCCTCGATCGCTGCAGCGGGCCAAAAGAGGTAAAGCTCATACACTCCACTCGCGGTCGGATTCGCAGTGGCTTGAGATATACAGCAAGTGTGAGGAGCAGTGGACGATCAGGAGATCACCACGATGACGGAGAGCAATGGGGGCGCCAATCAGAAGCGCTTCAGTGGAGACGGCAATGACGGTGCTGCAGCCTACAAAGCATGGAAACGGTGGGCGAAGGCAGCGATTGTGGTTCAGAAGGCGGAAGGCGCTCCAGAGGAGGCGATTGGCCCATGGCTGTACACTCTTCTGGACGGGCAGGCGGCGCTGGCGTCAGAGAACGCAGCCTTGGCGGAGATCAACGTCCACCTGGGAGAGGAGCTGGTGTTCGAGCGTCTCGACGAGAGATTCCCCGACGAAGCTGCCGCGGACCGTCTCGGGGAAGCCATGGAGGAGGCGCTCAGCCTCAGGATCCAGAAGCAGGAGACGACGAAGGCCCACACGGGCCGTGCTCAGCTGGTGCACGCCCAGCTGGCCACGGAGGGCGCGGACCTTCCGCCAGGGGCGAGAGGCTGCCTGACACTGCGAGGTGCTCGACGAGGTAGTTTTGGCCGAGCCACGATTCTGTCGGCGACTCACCAGAGTTGGCACGTGGGAGAAGTGCGTACGGCGTGGAGGACGGCATTCCCCGGAGCCCCACCGGAGAGATTCGCGCAGGCCACATATGCGGTGGAAGAGGAGCACGGCGAGGCCTACGGCCTGCCGGTACCGGAGCTCTACCAGGACGAGGGGTCGGAGGACGATGTCGCCCGGGAGATTGACGCGATCGTCCGGGCGGCGGAACCAATCGACGAGTCCGATGCGGTGGAGATCCTGGCGACATGGAAGCAGACGAGGGAGGCCATGAGCAAGGAGAAGCTGGACCGCAGTCTGCGACCTGGGTCCCGCGCGCATGCCGGAATACGTCGAAAAGCGTAGGGTTCGTAAGGATTTCGAGGTCGAGGTTCCTGAAAACGGCTGAGCAAAAACACGGGGTTCACAATTTGCCGTTTCAGGAAAGTCTTTATGCGCGCGCTCTTGCGAACGCGTGTATTTTCAACGGCTTCTCAACGCTTTCATCAAAGTCGGCGGGGGGGCACGATCCTTGTCAAGTAATAGCGCGCGGGCCACTCGCGCCCGTTGGCCGCAAGCGCATGGCGAAATCCTTCGAACAACTTCATCGCCGACACGCGGACACCATCATCGTCATTGGCGTGATCAGCATCGGCGCCGTTATTGGCCTTGGCGTCGTCATCGCCATCGTTGTAACCAACATCGCTGCTATCATCATGGCGTCTGCCGTTGTCGAAGTTGCCATGATACCGCGCCCGCCCGAGTCACCGACACACACTGAATTGTCCACGCGGCAGCGCGGCCTGCGAGACGCGCTGGGAAGTGTCCAGCGGTCGGCGCCACCGCGGCCGTGCCGGTCGCGTCAGACTAGCTGGCCGCTTCGCATGCGAGCATGCCCGCGCTAGCGCGGCCGCAGCGATGCGCCAGTCAGCACCAAGCAGTCATTGCAATCGGCGCCGCAAGGGCTTGGCAAACCAATTTGCGGGTGGGTGGGTGGGATAATTCAGCGAGCAATGAAGTTGACAACTTCCTGCCCAGGCGAATGACTTGCACCACATCTACTGCACCACATGGGTTGCTCCACGCAGATTGCACCACGTCGACCGCACAACACCGATCGCACAGATTGCACACCACAGATTGCACAACTTAGATTGCACATCGAATATTGCACCACCGAGGTTGCACCACGTCGATTGCACCACATAGACTGCGCACCATACAGACTGCACCACAACATTGATTGCACCACATAGAGTGCGCTACGTATGTTGTATCCCATGTATTGCTCCACAGCGATTTCACCACATAACCTGCACACAATGTATTGCTCGATATAGGTTGCATGACATAATTTGCACCACGAGAGAGCAGAACATCCACCCCCATAATAAGCACCCCGACAAGCGAAGCCGTTTAGTAAACGCACCCATGGAAGGAATCGAAAAGGGCAGGGCTGTTTAGTAAACGCCCAGGGCTGTCTAGTAAACGCGATTTGTCGGGGTCGGGGTGGTTTTCCCACCCTTGAACCATGTAGAATGCCACGCGTATATTGCCACACATAGGTGGCACAGCATGTATTGCTAGAGGCACGCTCTTTGGGGTCCACGCTGGCTGACACTGTTTTGTGCTGTGTGTTTTGTGGGCGGCACGTGGGCGATTGGGGGTGGACGCGCCGCTTCCCGCCCCGAGCCCATCCCACCCCCGACGTTGCCCCTGAAGAGAACCCCACCCTCCCCATCAGAAATCATGGGGGGCAGGGGTAGGGTTCGCCTGCGGCCCCCCACTGATGCCTGTGGAGCGACAGGGTGACCTCGTCGAACAGCTTGTGCACCCACTCCTGGGGAAACAGCAAGAAGCCCGCACTGCCATTCCCAGGTGCCTCGACAGGCGCTCCAAGAGGCTGCCGGGAGGCATCCCCGAGAGACGCCCGCCTGCCTTCAGGCCTCTCTCGCCCTGCCTGTGCTTTATTTGGGGGGGTCGGCGGACGGGCGTAGGCCTCTTGAATGCCCATACCGTCACTCCACGGACTCCTCCCGGGGCGCGTTCTGACCAAAACTTCCAGGCGAATCCGACGGTGGCGACGACGGCCTCCCAGGCGGCCCCAAAAAGGCGTAAAGGAGGCAAGGGCAGCGGTATCCAGCCGCGGCAACGAAGCAGGCGCAATCCTGACTCCAGTTCCGCCGTACTTTGTGTGATTTCGCACTTAGGGTAAATTTCCGCCCTACTTTTCAAGCTCGTTTGATGCCGATTTCCGCCCTACTTTGTCGTCGCTCTTTCCGCCATCCCATGGCGGAAATAGCGGCCCTACTTTTCTGGGGCGGAGTTTCCTGCATTACTTGTTCGCATCCTTTGGGGTGCATTTCCAGCACAACTTTTTCCTTTGAAAACGAACCAATGCACGGCGGATCCGGAACCCGGGCTCAATATCGGTACGCTCATGTCGGGCGTGTCCCCCTACAGGGGGATGTTCGACGACAAATTTTGAAAAATACTCAAAAAATCCCCCTGAATGGCCAAAAAATGCTAAAAAAATAGTCCTCAGACTATTTTTATAGTATTTTTGGTGTATGTTTTATTTTTCGTCCAAAATCCCCCTGTAGGGGGACAGGCCCGACTTAACGGTACGCACCTCTTTCTCCGCTGAACTCCTCGGACACGAGCCGGGCGGAGGCGCACGCCTGCATGGCGGTGTTGAGCTCCCGGAGGTCCACCTTCTGTGGCAGCTCATGGGGAGCCTCCGATGTCCTCTTGCTGGCTCTTGCGGATCTGCTCTGAAGGGCAGTTTTAAATACATTGGATCTTTAAAAGTACAAGATTTTCATACATGATTGATTTAGGGGTAAATTGATGCATGAACTCATCGTTGTTTTTAAAACAGAATCCCTGCATTTGTAATGCATGATCCGCACGCGGAGCGTGCAAAAAAAAACGGCACTGTAAGCTCATCGACGTCCGTCGACGCAAACCTACGCGCAGCGACGCTGCGTGAGCCCTCTCTCATCGACTGCCAGACGCTGGCGCGCGGTGATGTGCTCTGAAGACAAATGTTGCGAGGACATGCGGGGCTCCCACGAGTTGCTCCAAGAGTGCGGCGCGCCCTCGCGCCAATCCCCCCCCGAGGGCAGAAGGGGAGGATCGGGAACGAGGAGGAGGAGGAGCGGGGAGGAGGAGGAGGGGAGAGGAGGAGGAGGAGGAGGAGGGAGGAGGAGGAGGAGGAGGAGGAGGAGGGAGGAGGAGTTGGAGGAGGTTGTTGAGGGAGGAGAGGAGGAGGAGGAGGAGGAGGAGGAGGAGGAGGAGGAGGAGCGGGGAGGAGGAGGAGGGGGGAGGAGGGGACATGCGGGGCTCCCACGTTGGATGCTCGTTCTGGGGACCTTCCTGGAGCCACTCGCTCCACTCGTGCGTCGAAGCTGCGTCGAACCTGAGTCGAACCTGAGTCGACCCTGAGTCGAACCTGAGTCGAACCTGAGTCGAACCTGAGTCGAACCTGAGTCGAACTTTAGTCGAACTGGGGTCTAACAGATCCGTTAGGTGGCCCCCAGGAAGGTCCCCGAAACGAGCATCGAACCCATGAGTTGCTATCGGGAACGAGGAGGAGGAGGAGGAGGAGGCGAAGGAGGAGGAGGAGGAGGAGGAGGAGGAAGAGGAGTTGCTATCGAGGTCCACCTCCCCGCTGAGCTTCGTCTCGAAGCGGGTCGCGATATCGAACGCCTCCCTGCGGGTGAGCCCCACCGCGCTCGGCAGGATCTGGAGCACCCTCGCGCGCGGCACCTTTTTGGCACCGGGCAGCCCCGAGATCTGTGCGTTGACGTCTCGTCGCGCGAGGCGTTCTCTCCTCTCTTAAAGGGGCCCTGGGACACACAAATAAATATACACAAATAAAAAGATTCCCCATATTTTCTTATATTTCCTGGGTTTTTGTCTTCCAGCCCACTTCCCATATTTTCCCATATTTTCCGGGGAATCGACGATTAATTGTGTCTGTGTGCGCGGCACCTTTTGGCACCAGGCAGCCCTGAGATCTGTGCGTTGCAGTCTTGCCGCGCGAGGCGTTCTCTCCTCTCTGTGGGCGCCAGGACCATCACAGATCGATGCGGCTCGAGGCATGCCATGGAAGGATGGCGTCTGGGGCTCCAGCAGCGATCTTACGCACGGCTGCAATTTTGTCGCAACGTCGGGTCTCAAGGAAGCGGACCCCGAAAGAGACGAGCCCTGGAGCCCGGGGCCTTCCGCCAGGACCCAGCACCGATGTTGTTGACGGCCCCGGTGCGCGTGGAGGGCCCTGCAGGGGCCCGAAGAAGACAGCGGTGCGCGTGGGGGGCACCAGTGAGGGCCCGGAAGAAACGGCCAAAAACCCAAGGACACGCCTGCCTCAGGACCCGCTCTGAGACCCGACTTTGCTGACTACCTACCAGACCACCCCAACCCAACCCGAAGACCCCAAATTTCGGGTTGGGGGGGGTCGGGTTCCATGTGTTTCTTTAATGTTCCCCAACGCCCCCCACATTGGAAATGGAGGGCATCTTGAAGCCTTCGGGTTGGGTTGGGGTGGTTTGGTGGGTGGTGATCTGCGCAACAGCTTCCCCCTCGCGAGGAATCGCAGGGGGAGCGCCCTGGCCGCGTCGACCTGGGATATGTAGCCCCGGGCCCGAGGCCAGGCGGAGACGCCCGACGAGGAAGAGCTGCAACGCCTGGATCCCCAGACCCCCTCGAGGTATGAAAAAAATCGCGACGGGAAGTTTTTCATTATTTTTGTCATTATTTTTGGCCTTGGGGCGCCCTTACCGGCCCTCGGGGCCGTCAAAAAACGACGCAGGATGAAAAAAACCGGTCCCGGGGCATGGGTCGAGACCTCGGGGGGTCGGCGTCGTGAAGAAATCATGACGTCGAGGGTCTGGGTCTCAGGGCGTTCCCGTCATAAAACAAGGCTAGGATCGGGATAAATCGCTCCAGAGCGTTCCGGAGCGCTCTCAGAGCGTTCCGGAGTGCTCTGGAGCGGCCGCGGCGCCCAATACATCCTCCAAACCCGCCGATTCTCAGAGATTTCGAGTTCGTATCCCGATCCGATTTTGTCCCGATCTTCGCGTCGTTTTAAGTCATGGCGGGGCACCGTCCCGTGCGAGGAGGAGAAGGAGGTGGGAGAGAGAGGAGGAGGAGGAGGAGGAGGAGGAGGAGGAGGAGGAGGAGGAGGAGGAGGAGGAGGAGGAGGAGGAGGAGGACGAGGAGGAGGAGGAGGAGGAAGACGAGGACGAGGACGAGGACGAGGGAAGCGACGAGGACGGGGCACCGTCCCGTGCAGGTACCAGTCGTTCAGCTGGAACACGGCCGGCAGGCCCCCCTGCCTGGCGACGGCCGCCTCCATGCGGACCATCACGTGGTCGAAGTACTCCTCCCCCATGCGGCCCTGCACGTCGTGCCCCACGGCCTGCGATGGGGCAATGCAGGATGACGATTCATATAAAAAATGAGAGAGAACGATTCAAAGAATAGCTTTCTGCGATTTCTGCACAAGTTTCTGACTGGAGGAGAACGATTATAAGAAAAATCCGCCGACCCTGTCGGCGTGTGTGAGGGGCTTTTCCGTTCGAGCCGTCATCTCCGTCATTCTTTGTACTCGTCGTCTCTGTCCTTCCCTTTCCCTGGGAGACCTCTTCCCCTGGGCTCCAGCCAAGCCGACCTTGAGCAACCTCGTAATTGTGTCGAAGGGAAGCCCCTTCCCTTTGATCCCTCCCCCGCCGGGGGGGGGGAGGGGTATCGACCCCCCCCCGGGTCAGATACGACGCCGCCCCCGCCCCCCGCTCGAGCCAAGCCGACCTTGAGCAACGTCGTAATTCAGTCGAAGGGAAGCCCCTTCCCTTTGATCCCTTCCCCGCCGGGGGGGGGGGGGGGGGGTATCGACCCCCCCCCCGGGTCGATACGAGCCCCCCGTCGTATCGACCTTGAGCAACGTCGTAATTCAGTCGAAGGGAAGCCCCTTCCCTTTGATCCCTTCCCCGCCGGGAGGGGGGGGGGGGGGTATCGACCCCCCCCCCGGTCAATACGACGCCCCCCGCCCTTCCCGCTGGAGAGGGGGTGGGGGTAGCGACCCCCCCCCCGGGTCAGATACGACGCCCCCCCCCCGTACCGACCTTGAGCAACGTCGTAATTCAGTCGAAGGGAAGCCCCTTCCCTTTGATCCCTCCCCCGCCGGGAGGGGGATGGGGGGTAGGGGGGTAGCGACCCCCCCCCCGGGTCAGATACGACGCCCCCCCCCGTACCGACCTTGAGCAACGTCGTAATTCAGTCGAAGGGAAGCCCCTTCCCTTTGATCCCTCCCCCGCCGGAAGAGGGGGGGGGGTACGACCCCCCCCCCTGTCAGATACGACGCCCCCCCCCCGTACCGACCTTGAGCAACGTCGTATTCCGTCGAATGAAAAACCCCTTCCCTTTCCCTCCCCCGCCAGGAGGGGGGGGGGAGCGATCCTACTCCCGGGTTATGACACCCCCCTCCCGTACCGACTTGAGCAACGTCGTAATTCGTCGAGGGAGCCCCTTCCCTTTTCCCTTCCCCGCCGGGAAGGGGGTGGGGTATCACCCCCCCCCGGTCCCCCTTCCCTTTGATCCCTTCCCCGCCGGGAGGGGAGGGGGGTAGCGACCCCCCCCCCGGGTCAGATACGACGCCCCCCCCCCGTACCGACCTTGAGCAACGTCGTAATTCAGTCGAAGGGAAGCCCCTTCCCTTTCCCTCCCCCGACGGGGGGGGGAGAGGAGGTCCCGGGGGGGGTCCCGGGGGAGTCCCGGGGAAGTCCCGGGTCAGATACGACACCTCCCTCCCCCACCTTCTCGTCCTTCTCCCCGTTCCCCCAAACCATCCCACAGCCCGTGCCTCTTGCTGCGCATTGCGAACAGGGTCGGCGGCACCGGCCGTCAGGCCTTCGCAATAGTTTTCCAGCCCGCGGCCGGCTTTTTCTAATCGTCATCCGGGGCGCCGCCGCGTGAACACGACCCCGGGTCATATATTAATCGTCATCCTCCATTAACGCTAGGGTTAAGTCGGGCCTGTCCCCCTACAGGGGGATTTCGGCGAAAAATTAAAGATACACCCAAAATAATTCAAAAATGCTAAAAAACATACTCTGGGGACTATTTTTTGATTATTTGAGGGGTACAGGGCAGTTTTTAAGACATAGGATGTTTAAACATATATGGTTTTCACACATGATTCATTTATGAATGAATTTATGCATGAACTCATCGTTGTTTTTAATACTAAATCCGTGCATTTTTGACACATGATCCGCACGCGGAGCATGTATTAAAAACGGCACTGTAGGGGCCGAGTCCCGCAGGGGGGGGGACACCGACATGGACTCGGCGGTACATCGCCGATAATATGGACTGGCGATGGGCCCTCGATCGCGAATCCGCGCACTTCCTGGCGGGGTGGGCTGTCAAGCCCCCATCTCGCCATCGCTCGGACGTCCATTTCCTGTGTTTTTTTCGGTTTCGTGCGCCTCCCTGAGCCCATCCCCCCTCTGACGCCGCCCCACGTCCTGCAGAAACTCCTGGAAGGTCAGGCGGCCCGCCCCTCCCCGGTCTGCGAAGTGGAGGAGGCGCGTGACGTGATCGTCCGACAGCTTGGGGAGGAACTCGCGGACGAGCTCCCGGAAAGACGACTCCTGGAGGTGCGTCGCGCCAGGGCCCCTGCTGGAGGAGCCGAACCACTTCATACGCACAGCTTTCGGAGCTCTGGGGGCTGCCTTCTTGGATCGGCGCTGGGCCCATACCTGGCGCGCGCGGAGCGCGCCAGGGGCGGCGCCGGAGACAATGCTAGGGGGGTGCATCCAGCAAGCACCAAGAAGTCCAAGCAGACGGGACGCACCACCTCGATGGTGGATTTTAGCACCTTCTTTCGCGTCTCGAAGACGAGGAAGAAGCAGCAGCGTGACCTCGAACCTTGTGGAGGCCCGCGCAGACTTGTTTTGGCTCTGCGCAGGGCCCCGCTCCGCGCGCCATGGAGGGGGGGCCAGCTTCGCGCGGACCTCCGAAAGCTTACGTGCATGCATCTTGTTTTGTCCTCGGCCTGTGCCTCTTGAACACGTCCAGCAAGGCTTGCCTGGAGGACTTGATCTCCTTTAGAGAGCAGGTCACGGAAACTGTTGGTCGTCCCCATGGTGCCCAACAGCGCGCCCAATTCCGCGCAGAGCAGACAGAATGCATCCCCCTCACACGGCGCTATTGTGCGCTACTGGGCCCCATTGGGCGCTATTTGGCGTTATTCGCCGATACACCAACCATCCAAGACGAGTAACCTCCGCCTTTTCCTCCTCCTCCTCCTCCTCCTCATCCTCCTCTCCATCCTCCTCTTCCTCCTCCTGCACCTCCCTTTGATGTACAACTCAAACTTTCGATCCCGATGTTGTTTCGTGGTCGCCAGGTCTGAGCAGCCGGAGGCCAGAGGCCGCGAGCGCCCACAGGGCCGGCGGCCGCAAACCTTTCTGGCGTCGCCCGGGCCTGAGAGTCGTCGGAGCAGCACGTCTGCAGCGGTCCTCCCTTACGATTAAATCGGGCGTGTCCCCCTACAGGGGGATTTTGGGCGAAAAATGAAAAATACCTAAAATTAGCCTGGCGAAGGGCCCAACCATATGCAGTTGTGAACACCGCCGTTGTGAATACAAATTTCGCCCGCGCCCCCTATGTGGCCACGGCTTCCCGCCAGAGCCCGACATGCTCAGGAACGCGTTCGTGGCCGTCTTCGCGGGCGCCGACGACGACAAGGACGGCGTCCCTCTGACCGAGGAGCAGTAGCTGGAGAGGGCTTTGAGAGCCATGAGGGAGGAAGTGGCGTTGCACGTCGGCAAGGCGGAGTACGACGCCCAGGCGCGGCTGCTGAAGCAGCACAACTATGGGGCCACGATCCTCGTGAGGAAAGCGCCGCAATGGCCCGGGGCCGCCTTGCGAACCCTGCCACTGGCGCTTTCGGTGGAGCTCCCCATGGGGCCACGATCCTCGTGAGGGGTGTGCCGAAACGGCCCGGGGCTGCCATGCGAACCCTGCCACTGGCGCCTTCTGTGGAGCCCCCTTATGGGGCCACGATCCTCGTGAGGGGTGTGCCGAAATGGCCCGAGGCCGCCATGCGAACGCAGCCACTGGGGGCTTCGGTGGAGCTCCCTATGGGGCCATGATCCTCGTGAGGGGTGCGCCGACATGGCCCGAGGCCGCCATGCGAACCCTGCCACTGGCGCCTTCGGTGGAGCTCCCTAAGGGGCCACGATCCTCGTGGGGGGGTGTGCCGAAATGGCCCGAGGCCGCCATGCGAACCCTGCCACTGGCGCCTTCGGTGGAGCTCACCATGGGGCCACGATCCTCGTGGGGGGTGTGCCGAAATGGCCCGAGTCCGCCACGCAAGCCCTGCCACTGGGGCCCTTCGGTGGAGCCCCCCCATGGGGCCACGATCCTGGTGAGGGGTGTGCCGAAATGGCCCGAGGCCGCCATGCGAACCCTGCCGCTGGGACCTTCGGTGGACTCCCTATGGGGCCACGATCCTCGTGAGGGGTGTGCCGAAATGGCCCGAGACCGCCATGCGAACGCAGCCACTGGAGCCTCCGGTGGAGCTCCCTATGGGGCCACGATCCTCGTGAGGGGTGTGCCGAAATGGCCCGAGGCCGCCATGCGAACGCAGCCAGTGGGGCCTTCGGTGGAGCTCCCTATGGGGCCACGATCCTCGAGAGGGGTGTGCCGAAATTGCCCGAGGCCGCCATGCGAACGCAGCCACTGGAGCCTTCGGTGGAGCTCCTATGGGGGCACGATCCTCGTGAGGGGTGTGCCGAAATGGCCCGAGGCCGCCATGCGAACGCAGCCACTGGGGCCTTCGGTGGAGCTCCCTATGGGGCCACGATCCTCGTGAGGGTGTGCTGAAATGGCCCGAGGCGGCCATGCGAACGCAGCCACTGGGGGCCTTCGGTGGAGCTCCCTATGGGGCCACGATCTTCGAGAGGGGTGTGCCGAAATGGCCCGAGGCCGCCATGCGAACGCAGCCACTGGGGGCCTTCGGTGGAGCTCCCTTTGGGGCCACGATCCTCGAGAGGGGTGTGCCGAAATTGCCCGAGGCCGCCATGCGACCGCAGCCACTGGGGCCTTCGGTGGAGCTCCCTATGGGGCCACGATCCTCGTGAAGGGGTGTGCCGAAATGGCCCGAGGCCGCCATGCGAACGCAGCCACTGGGGGCCTTCGGTGGAGCTCCCTATGGGGCCACGAAACGCTGTACTGGGTGGGTGAAACGCAAGGATGAGGGGGAGGAGGGAGGAGGAGGGGGAGGAGGAGGAGAGAATGAGAGGAGACGCGGGCCACGGTCTCTTCAAAACGAAGACCCAACACCACAGGATGGTTGGAAAAAACCAAAATACTCAATCAGCCTGTCGAAACACCCAACCATACGCAGTTGTGACTACCGCAATTGTGAATAACATCTTCGCCCGCGCTCCCGATGTGGCCACAACTTCCCGCCGGAGCCCGACATGCTCAGGGACACGTTCGTGGCCGTCTTCGCGGGCGCCGACGACGACGAGGACGGCGCCCCCCTGACCGAGGGGCAGAAGCAGGAGAGGGCTCTAAGAGCCATGAGGGAGGCTGCCACTGGGGCCTTCGGTGGGGCTCCTATGGGGCCACGATCCTCGTGAGGGGTGTGCCGAAATGGCCCGAGGCCGCCATGCGAACGCAGCCACTGGAGCCTTCGGTGGAGCTCCTATGGGGCCGCGATCCTTGTGAGGGGTGTGCCGAAATGGCCCGAGCCGCCATGCGAACCCAGCCACTGGCGCCTTCGGTGGAGCTCCGTATGGGGCCACGATCTTTGTGAGGGGTGTGCCGAAATGGCCCGAGGCCGCCATGCGAACCCTGCCACTGGCGCCTTCGGTGGAGGCCAAGATCCTCGTGAGGGGTGTGCCGAAATGGCCCGAGGCCGCCATGCGAACGATGCCAAGTGGGCCTTCGGTGGAGCTCCCTATGGGGCCACGATCCTCGTGAGGGGTGTGCCGAAATGGCCCGAGGCCGCCATGCGAACGCAGCCACTGGAGCCTTCCGTGGAGCTCCCTATGGGGCCACGATCCTCGTGAGGGGTGTGCCGAAATGGCCCGAGGCCGCCATGCGAACGCTGCCACTGGCGCCTTCGGTGGAGCTCCCTATGGGGCCACGATCCTCGTGAGGGGTGTGCCGAAATGGCCCGAGGCCACCATGCGAACGCAGCCACTGGAGCCTTCGGTGGAGCTCCCTATGGGGCCACGAACGCCGTACTGGGTGTGCCGAAATGGCCCGAGGCCGCCATGCGAACGCAGCCACTGGAGCCTTCGGTGGAGCTCCCTATGGGGCCACGAAACGCCGTACTGGGTGTGCCGAAATGGCCCGAGGCCGCCATGCGAACGCAGCCACTGGAGCCTTCGGCGGAGCTCCCTATGGGGCCACGATCCTCGTGAGGGGTGTGCCGAAATGGCCCGAGGCCACCATGCGAACGCAGCCACTGGAGCCTTCGGTGGAGCTACCTATGGGGCCACGAAACGCTGTACTGGGTGGGTGAAACGCAGGGAGGAGAGGGGAGGAGGGGGAGGAGGGGGAGGAGGGGAGGAGGAGGAGAGTACGAGAGGAGACGCGGGCCACCGTCTCTTCAAAACGAGGACCCAACACCATCGGATGGGTGGGGAAAATGGTCAAAACATCGTCCCCTGACTATTTTTTACTACTTTTCAATATTCCTTCTGTAGAGGGACATGCCCGACTTAACCTTACGATGGATCCGCCATACCCTGGGCGACTTCGGCGATCTCGCAAGCAAAGCGGAAACGTCCGCTCTGCTCTTCAAGCTCCTTTGATGTCGACTTCAGCCCTACATTTCTGTCGCTGGTTTCTCAGCATTTTTGTGGATGTCCGCCGTACCATGGTGGGGAACTCTTGCTTAGCGCGTCGCCGCGGCGGCCCTGGCGGCATGCATGCCCTGCAAGCACATACGGTGTCGCTCCGCTCCGCGGGGCAGGGGGCTGGAGCAGCTCGGGACGCTGACCCCCAAGGACGGAGCCGTGGATAGCGTGCCGCGCCGAAGCGTGGTGGTCCAGATCTGTCGGAGAGACACGCTGATAGAAGTGCAAAACAATTACAAAAAAAAACTTTTTGGAGGCCCGCGCGGATTTCGTGCGCTGGGCCCCCCTCCCTGGCGCGCGAGCGCCAGGGGCGGCGCTGGAGGCGCCGCCAGACGGCTCCAGCGCCGATCCAGGCAATCAGCGCAGAGCTCCGAAAGCTTATGCTTATGCCATTGGTTCTGCTTCGAGCTAGGCAACAACTCCCGACCGCATGCTTCGTGATCTACTGCCTGATCTCCTCGCCCAGCAGGGCGAACACCCGGCGAGGACGACAGCGACGACGACGAATTCCCAGGAACCCTCTGGGATCCTGAAGAAATCCTCGAAGAATCCTTGAAAAGATCATCGCAAAGGTGGGCGAAGCACTGTGACGCGATCCGGGCGGGGGGGGGAGGAGAGGGCCGGGCACGGCCGCTCTCGCCCAGACCTTACGACAACAGGCTCTCTTACTGACTACCTACCAGACCACCCCAACCCAACCCGAAGACCCGAATTTCGGGTTGGGGGGGGTAAGGGTTCCACATGTGCTTTTTCTATGTTTCCCGACCCCCCCCCCACTGGAAATCGAGGGTAAATCTGAGCCTTCGGGTTGGGTTGGGGTGGTTTGGTGGGTGGGGATTTACTGCCTGGTCTCCTCGCCCAGCAGGGCGAACACCCGCCCCGCCCACAGCGCGTCCAGCTCCCTGAGCGGCTCGCCGTTCAGGCCGGCCTTGGCCATCCGCAGCAGGGGCGCGCAGCACGGCGCCTTGCACTGCACCGAGACCTGTGAAGGGGCCCGGGGACACACAGGTAAATATACACACAAATGACAGGATGCCCCATATTTTCCCGTACTTTCTGGGCTTTTGCCTCCCCCCCCACTTCCCATATTTTCCCATATTTTCTGGGGGATCGACGAATAATCCTCCTGAACCTGCCCGAGGAGGAGGAGGAGGAGGAGGTTCAGGAGGAGGAGGAGGAGGCGAAGGAGGAGGAGGCGAAGGAGGAGGAGGCGAAGGAGGAGGAGGCGAAGGAGGAGGAGGAGGAGGGGGTGTGAACAAGCTAGGTGCGCTCGCGTCATATCTGACATCCTACCCCTCCCTCCCATCCCTTACCTATGGCGCAGAGATCCCCTCTCTACTCCACAGTCGGATGTCGGAGCAGGGCAATGATCCCGAAAGGGTAACGCGATGCAATGTAGAGCAGGCGTGCATGGCGTAGAAAAGCACCGCAAAAGCGAGCATCAACCTAGCAATTGGGTGTGAAGGCGGAGGAGGAGGAGGTTAGAGAGGATTAAGGAGGAAGGATTCGGAGTAGGAGGGAGGAGGAGGCCTGTGTGTTTTCGTCCCCCCCGAGACCTGCCCGAGCGCGGAGGCGCTGGGCGGCTCCTGGAGGAGCCGGCACAGCCTCAAAGCTGGGCGCTGCAGCTCTTCCGCAACGGGCGCTCTCGCCAAGTTTTTCGCGCACCGGGGCCCTCACACCTCGACCCTGCTCGAAGCCACCCTCCTCCTCCTCCTCCTCCTCCTCTTGCCTTCCTCCTCCTCCTCCTCCTACCTCCTCCTCCTCCTCCTCCTCCACCTCCTCCTCCTCCTCCTCCTCCTCCCCCTCCTCTTCACTCTTCCTCCTCCTCCTCCTACACACCCCCATCCTCCTCCTCCTCCTCCTCCTCCTCCTTCCTCCTGTCCCTACCTCTCCTCCTCCTCCCCTCCTCCTTCACCACCCCCTCCTCCTCCTCCTCCTCCCTTCCTCCGCTTCCTCCACTTCCTCCTCCTCCTCCTCCTCCTCCCTCCACCTCCTCCTTCAACACACCCTCCTCCTCTCCTCCCCTCCTCCTCCCGCTTCCTCCTCCCCCTCCTCCTCCTCCTCCTCCTCCTCCTCCTCCTCCTCCTCCTCCACCTTCACACCCCCTCCTCCCCTCCTCCTCCTCCTCCTCGCTCTCTCCTCCTCCCCCTCCTCCATCCTCCTCCTCCTCCTCCTCGCTCCTCCTCCTCCTCCTACTCCTCCTCCTCCTCCTCCTCCTCATCTGGGCGCTGCAGCTTTTTCGCAACGGGCGTTCTCGCCAAATTTCGCGCACCGGGGCCCTCATAGCTCGGCCCTGCTCGAAGCAAGCGCTCCAGTGCTGATTTCTGGCGAGGTTTCAATCTTTCCGCAGCGTCGGATCCCAAGGGGTAACAGATAGGCCCCCGAGAGGCCTCCCAGGAGACATCCAGAAGCCTCCCACAGAGGCGCCTTGTCCACGTCCCGGCCTGGCCCCAAGAATGCCCCACGACGCCATCGAGAGGCTTCCTCCTTCTCCTTCTCCTCCTCCTCATCCTCTCACTTTATCATTATTATTATTATTATTACTATAGTAGTAGTAGTAGTAGTAGTAGTAGTAGTAGTAGTAGTAGTAGTAGTAGTAGTAGTAGTAGTAGTAGTAGTAGTAGTAGTAGTAGTAGTAGTAGTAGTAAGAGTAGTAAGAGTAGTAGTAGTAAGAATAGTAGTAGTAGTAGTAGTAAGTAGTAGTAGTAGTAGTAGTAATCTAGTAGTAGTAGTAGTAGTGTAGTAGTAGTAGTAGTAGTAGTAGTAGTAGTAGTAGTAGTAGTAGTAGTAGTAGTAGTAGTAGTAGTAGTAGTAGTAGTAGTAGTAGTAGTAGTAGTAGTAGTAGTAGTAGTAGTAGTAGTAGTAGTAGTAGTAGTAGTAGTAGTAGTAGTAGTAGTAGTAGTAGTAGTAGTAGTAGTAGTAGTAGTAGTAGTAGTAGTAGTAGTAGTAGTAGTAGTAGTAGTAGTATAGTATTATTACTACTATTATTATTATTCTTATTAGTAATTTTACTAATATTATATGATTAGTAGTAGCATTAGTATTATTATTCTTATTATGAATATTACTATTATTATTACTTCTATATGATTATTATTATTGTTATTATTATTACTATTATTATTATCATTATCACTCTTATTATTCCTCCTCCACCTCCTCCTCCTCTTCCTCCTCCTCCTCCTCCTTCTCATACTCGCTCGCCGCGAAGACATCAAAATCTATAACCAATGATGCAATAATGGGCCGGCGGAGTGAGCGAAGCGATCAAACAACATGAAATTCTGTAGGACGCAGAAACAGCAAACACACACACACACACACATCGACATGAACACCAGCTTCCGGAGCTTCAGGCTGGGTGGCTCTCGGAAGAACAACGGATAACATGCACATTATAGGAATGGCAAATCTGAGCAACAACCAACAAAATGGTTCCTTCACTCCTTAGGAAAAGTAATTCAACTATTTTTTATTTGTTCGCCCCCCCCGCCGCGCCCCCCGGTCTCAATGTTGAGTCAGCCGTGGCCGACGAGAGAAAATCAAATTGCGCGGAATCGTGCTGAACATTGAAAGTCGGCCCGCGGGGAGACGGACCGCGCGCGAGAGTTGCATTACCTTTCCAAGGTAGTGTATAGCAGCAGACACAAAACGGCCCACAGAAAAAAACAACAAAATGGTAGCATCAACCACAAACGCACACACACATCGGCATAAACACCAGCTTTCGGAGCTTCGCGTAGATTGTCTGGATCGGCGACGGAGCCCCCCTCCCTGGCGCGCCAGGGGCCGCCAGGGGGGCCCAGTCCAGCGCAGACCCAAGAGATCAGCGAGTGCCTGTGAAAATACCCATGGCTTCCGCTCAGGGCGGCGGCGCGCCGATGGGGAAGCTAAGAGGGGGGCAAGCCTTCTCCGAAGGCGGCGGGGCTTTGCCCGAAGCCCTGGCCGTAAGTCGGGCCTGTCCCCCTACAGGGGGATTTTCGACGAAAAATAAAAAAGTACCCCAAACATAATCCAAACATAATCCAAAAATAGTCTGGGGACTATTTTTTGAATTTTGTTTTACCTTTTTGGGGTATTCTTGGGGTATTGTTTATTTGTCGTCGAAAATCCCCCTGTATGGGGGACAAGCCCGACATAACCCTGGCCTTCTGAGAAGACCTCTGCGGCTTCGGAGAAGGCTCAGAAAGCTTCCCAGAAGGGCGGAGGCCTTCTCAGCCCTCCGAAAATCCAGCCCCCTCTGCTCTCCCCCCTGGGCGGGCAGACAATTACGTGCTTCGAGGAGCAAGTCAACGGTATAAGCACAATGTTTCGGAGGCCAGCGCGGATGTCTCAAATCGGCGCTACGCCCACCTCCGCGGCGCGCGGAGCTGGCCAGGGGCGGCGCCAGAGGCACCGCCAGGGGGGTCGAGCGCCGGATCCAAGAAATCCGCGCGGGCCTCCGAGAAGTCATCTTGATGCAACTTGTGGTTCTTCGAGTGCTTCCGCGGCTGGCGTAAAACACACGCCAATCCAAAGACGTTGCGTCGACGGGGCAACCCCTGGGCCCCACCTCTCAATGCTGCCTTCGCTGCCGACGTCGGAATGCTATCGTCGGCATAACATATTCAAACCCGCAGGTACACCCGTTTTCGACATGGAGATTTGGCGAGGCGGGGGGTCTCAACCCATGGGCGCTGGTTTCTCTGTCGCGTGGGCGTTTTTTTACGCCAATTGGAAGGCACAAGGACGTACTAGTACTATATGTTCTCCTTGGAGGCGCGCGTCCGACCCAAACATATAGTGTATCTATCTTGTAGTACATCGTTTCCCGAGCGGTGTGGCCAGAAAGCGCCCGCCACGACGCATATACTATAAGATTTCTCGGTGCGCGCGCCGCGCCTGAGGGGGCGACGCACATATAGTATATGTAATTATGTTGGGGTGACGCCGAATGCCAATGGCGGTTGCCTTCCCCTGCGAGCTCCGCAGTGCTCTCGCAGACCTGCTTCCGGAGCCTCTCGAGCTCCTGGTCCTTGCGGTGCACCTGCTAGGGGGCCACATGCGAACCCTACCCCTACCCCCCACGATTTCTGAGGGGGAGGGTGGGGTTCACTCCGCTCGGGAGCTCCCGAACGAAGTGAACCCCACCCTCCCCCTCAGAAATCGTTGGGGATAGGGGTAGGGTTCAAATGTGGCCCCCTACCTGCGCGGCGAGCACCTCGCTCTGCCTGCGCAGCACGGCCTCGCGGGACTCCGCCTGCACCCGGCCCTCCACCAGCTGGGCGACGTCCCCCTGCCTCTGCAGACTTGCCAGCTCCTCGTCTGTATTGGGCAGGAAATCCACCCCGATAATCACCACGCCGACACGCGAAGCCGTGTAGCAAACGCACCCAAAGAAGGAATCAAACAGGGCTGGGCTGTTTATTAAACGCCCAGGGCCGTTTAGTAAGCGAAGCAATCAAACAGGGCTGGGCTGTTTAGTAAACGCCCAGGGCCGTTTAGTAAGCGCCCATTGTCCCGTCCGGGTGGTGCCTCCTCCCTTGATTCTGTGGCAGATCCTGGGGGCCTCCCACGCCATCCTGGTGGCTCCTGCGCATCGACGCCTTCCGACGCTACCCGACGCCAATCGGTGCTCGTCGACGCTAGGTCGATGCTAATCGACGCTAGACGATGCTAAATCGGTGCTTCCCGACTACCGTTATGTCGGGCGTGTCCCTCTACAGGGGGGCTTCGACGAAAAATGAAACATACCACCACAAATACCCCAAAAAGACAAAACAAAAAAAAACAAAAAAAAAAAAAAAAAAAAAAACTCAAAAAATAGTCCCCAGACCATTTCTGGACTATTTCTTGCTTATTTTTGGGGTATGTTTGAATCTTCGTCGAAAATCCCCCTGTAGGGGGACAGGCCCGACTTAAGACTACCAAAGACGCCGGCGCCCGCGAACGCACCCTCCGAGGGCGGACTCTCGGGGGCACGCGGGGCTCCCGGGAGCTGCCACCGCTCGAGGGCTCTCAGAGCGCGCCTCGGCACCAACGCGTGCCGCTGTCCACCGAGGCCCCTCAAACTGAGCCCGTCAGACGTACCCACAGAGAGGCGACCTCTTACTCCTCCCCCTCCTCCGCACTCTTCCTGCTCCCCAGAGGAGCCCTCGAAGGCCCAGCCGCAGAGGAAGAGAGCAAACCGAAACGTCGAGCACCCGGCCTTGTGAGACCAACGCCCGCCAAAGCTTCCGCTCAGGGCGGCGGCGCGCCGATGGGGGAAGCTAAGAGGGGGGCAGGCCTTCTCCGAAGGCGGCGGGGCTTTGCCCGAAGCCCTGGCCTCAAGTCGGGCCTGTCCCCCTACAGGGGGATCTTCGACGAAACATAAAACAATACCCCAGAAATGATCCAAACATATTCCGACAATAGTCTGGGGACTATAGTTTGAATATCTTTGGACCTTTTTGGGGTATTCTTGGGGTATTTTTCATTTTTCGTCGAAAATCCCCCTGTAGGAGGACAGGCCCGACTTAAAAATTGACGCAGGCGGCTCCAAGAGGGCCGGCACAGACTGCCTGCTGTCGGCGGAGCCCGAACGGGTAGAGTCGGGGCGTTGACTTAAGGAACCCTAAGCAAGGAACGAGGCCCCTTTTCCCAGTAGGTTAAACAGCGATTTCCCATGGAAAACCTCAGCAAAACCTAAGGCAAAGTGCAGAGCACTCAAGGAACACAGAGCCCCTCCCCAACGAAAAGGGTTCCTTCTTCAGCGCCCCGACTGTAAGCACTTTTCTGATCCGCGGGTCGAGAGCGCACCTCTTCTGGTCGACGCTAAGCGGGCCGCGCACCGCTTGGATTAACGAGAGGGGGGCCGAAGGAGGGGGCCTCACGTCAGGGCCAGGAGAGGGCAAAGCCCCGTCGACCGTAAGTACACGTTCGGGCCAATATACGTCCTGAGGATCACCGAACCGAGCTCCTTGGCGTGCGCGCCGATCTGGTCGGACAGCTCCTGGTTCTGCCTCCTCAGCGCCTCCTCGCGCGCCTCCGCGCGGGCGCGCGCCTCCGCCTCCGCGCGGTGCTGCTCCTGGAGCCTGCCCGCCTTCTTCTCCAGCAGCCTCCGCGGAAACCCAGAGCCGACGCATCACCGACCGCATCGTCGATACGACTTGGCGGCGCGCACCAGGGGGTGGGGGGAGGGGAGAAGGCTTCCTTAGAAGCAG